AATAATATAATTTTATAAATATAATAATTAAGTATTTTATTTTAACTAATGATTATTTATATCTAATTACATAAATTCAAAAATAAAGCTTTAATAATAATATCTACTTATGTAAAATTTACTTGTGATCTTGAATTTTAACAAATCAAATGAGATACTTTTGATTCATTAAATCCTATGGGTTAGCTTGGTCTTCGACGATCAATGCAGTATTCCTTCGAAAGTTTAAGTCTTGATCTAGGCTTTGCGTAGGCGGAGGCATAAGATGCATATCTCTAACATAACTCGAAGATTTAGTTCGATTACTTGTGTGCAAATTAATGAATTATGAAGGCAGGGGATCATTTATAGAAGAACTTGGAATAAGGGTTTCCAAGTTTAATGGAAGAATTAAGATTAAGAATGACGTGAGGAATTGAAATGTATGCTTCCAGGGAAAATTCAACCGACATTTCAAAATTCATCCCTCAGTTTCGACTCGAGAGACAAGAGACACAAATCTTACTAGATTGCTACAAAACAGTCGAGTGAGACTATAGCCCTTGAAAAACCATAACTACTTGACAACAATAGAGTAAGATCATAAATGTCAAAAATCATATCCAATCTTACGTGTTGCGACCGGGAAATTATTAGCATAAAAGATCCTAGTCATTTGTATTCAATTGCTAAATAACAACCGGTAAGATTAGTTGACACGACCAAAGGGCATTTGCCTAGTGGTATGTGAGTCATTGGCCTTCTAGAAGGTCAATGGTTCAAACCTCACCAAAGGTGAGGAGGGTGTATAAGTTTATTTGTTCTATTTGTCGTATATAAATGTTATATACTTCAAAAAAAAAAATTAGTTGACACGTCAAAACCAAGTCACATTCTATATAGACTTTAAAAAAAGTAAGAAAATTTGAGTTATACTGTATCATTATCAGATTAAATAGGTAAACTAAGAAAATTAGCAAAATAGAAGGTCAGTAAAAAATTATTTCCGTCGTATATTTAATAAATTGATTATTTATGAAATACAAAAAACATCAAAATAGTATAAGATCAACCTAATTAGACCCTCTTGACGAATACTAAATAAATCCATTTTAATCGGAAGAAATCTTGATTTTGACCCATTACTCGATGGGTGGTTACCATTAGGGGTTTAAAGGTTTCAAACTTTTAACAAGCTATTCGAGCTCAAACTTGTTTATCTCGAACATCAAATAAAACTCGATTAACTTAACGTGTCAAGCTCCATAACACAAATTTTTGACTTAGTTTGTTCGAAAGCCCAATTAAACTTTATGAGTCGAGTCGAATCAAGCCATTCGAATATTTATATGTTTATAAATTATATAATCGAAATATAAAAATCATTGAGCTTGAACCAATAAACGAGTTAATCGATCTCGATTTCGAGCTCATAAACATGTATAAAGCTCAAACAATGAAAAAATATTCGAGTTTGAACTTGGGCCTGACTTTGAAAAAGTTATTTGGGTTTGAGTCGAACTGAATCCAACATTACTTTTTTAAGGCAAACTGGAATACCCTGTCACTTAACTCAACTCGTTTACGCTACTAATTACCAGAATCTTTTTCCACTTATCTTGGGCGACTCACTAGAAAGTTGCGTTAACAATAGAATTTACTTTAGTAATAAAAAAACAAAAAGACAACGTTGCTATTTTCTCGAGTAATCTATAAATTTGGTTTTTAAACTATAAGGGTGGTGTCTGATTGGTTTGAGCTTGGCTCAAAAGGTCAAAAGTACCAGGAGGTCCCAAGTTCAAATTCAAGGAGGAATAACAATCCTCTTGTGGCCACGGAGGTTCAAATGTGGTGACTTCGGGCTATCTGCAAAGCAGGTGGTCGTCCTGGGATTAGTCGGCTCGCATTGCGGGTTGGATATCCAAGTTAATAAAAAAAAGGTTTTTGTGGTTTGTTATAAATAACACTATTTTTTTATTACAATTTTAAAATTATAAGATGGTCACCGTAATTTACAAAAACATATGAATTTATCTCTTCCTTCAACGTGCGTTTAAAAGATTTCATTAAATGAGCAATTTTTGTTTTTTATCCAATTTTAATTGGAGAAAAGACAAAAAAAAATCAATAAAAAAACAAACATGATGGATTTTTTTAGCGACTGTTAAAAAGTAGAGACCAAGTGTTTATGTAAACGATGAAAAGTTTTTTATAATTTCAAAATGCAAAAACAAAAAGTGTTCCAAATTCGTAGTTTATTCCATTTTCTTCACGCTTCCATAAAATTTCCCCTTAAAAAGGCTTTTATAATGGAAAATACGACTGTTTTTCAAAAGCAAAGATACATTTTTATTGCTAATTGGTGGAGATTTTTTGTTTTAAAGCTGAGAATTTGAACACGTGGTTATCATAAAAAATACTAATTTTTAATGGTTTAAAAGATATATATCGAAAGATTCACTTCAATACCAAATTAAGGAAACGATAAAAATTAATAATTAAATTTTTTATATTTAATCTATACTATATTATAAATTATTTGACAAAAACTTTTAAAAATAATTTTTTATGCATGAAATACTGTATATTGATGCATATTACTTAAAATTTAAGATTACAAGTAAATTATGCATAAGTACAACTTATTAAACTTCATGTTTATATTCGTGTAATTAACTGCGGATAAACATTTTATTTTAAAATATAATTAAAATAATTATCGAGTTTTAACAAAATAATTAACTATTATAATTATAAAAAAATTATATTAGTAAACCAAATACAAATTAATTCGTTATTGAACTTAAATTAAATTAAAATTAAACTTTTGATTTAAAAAACAAAAAAATAAAAATTTTAAATAGTTAATTTGATAAGAATATCGATATAATTTTGTCATATTTTTATGATATCTTCAAATTTATATTTTATTCAAAAATAAAAAATCATCGTTTTTTCAAAATCACATAAGACCATATTATAACATCGATTGAGATAAAAAATAAAATAAAATATTAAAATCGAGATGTATCTCGCCGCATTACACGAGTAAAGCATTGGTGAAAATAACTTATTCATTGATTTTTTGTAACGATTTTGATATTTATTTTTTATTTTCTGTTTTAATTATTAGAAAAAATGGTATTCAGGTCTTTTTTATATTAGTTGATGATAATAATTACCATTTTTTTCTATTTTATTGGGATTTTTTTTATTGTGTAACCATTCTTTTTTATTCATTTTTTAAAGGTTTTTGTTTTGTTTTAATTTTACCAAAAACCAGATTTAATTAATAAAAATAATAATAATACCCTTTTACTTAAATAAAAATCGCCATAACAAATAAATCCGCACTCTAATTAACAATGTATAATATTTAACAATTAACATCAAGACTTGATTGGTTTATATTATGTCCATAATCACATCATATCTATACTATATTATAAAGCATCTGACAAAAACTTTTAAAACTCACGTTTTATGTATAAAGTACTGTTTATCATAAAACATTTGACAAAAACTTTTAAAACCTACTTTTTATGCGTAAAATACTGTTTATTAATGCATATTACTTAAAACTAAAGATTACAAGTAGAATGTGCGTAAGTACAACTTATAAAGATCCATATCTGAATTTATGTAACCAGCTGCAGATAAACATAATCAAATACAAGATAAACATTTCATTTTAAATATAAAAAATCTAAAATATAATTAGGATAATCATTAATTTTTAACAGAATATATACTTAATTATTATCTTTTTAAAATATTGTATTATTAAACCAAAAATAA